TTGTGGCTGAAGAGAGAACCGGTGGCCACGGCCGGTTGGCCTCTTTGTGCCCCGGCTTTGTTTCCGATTTCACGCTATCAGAGGGTCCGCGTGTTTTCCTGCGTGAAGTTGTCAAGGGATGAAAGCTCCGGAGCGGGGTCGCACGCCAAGGGCCGGGCATGGAGCCCACCCGCCAGCCTCCCGCCCTCCCCCCTGGCCCCTCCGCACAGTAACGGTGTCGAGCTGGCCGGCCCGGCCCTTCGCTGCAGAACCAGCGCTTCCGTCCAGACCGGCTCATTAGTCTCCCATGGGGCCAGAAGGAGCCTCGTCCAAGGCTAAAACAGGGCGGCCAGCTCACCCTCCCCAGCAGTGACCCACTGCCCAGGCGCGGACGGCCAAGCTGGGTCCCTGACGTGGTCAGGGGAGGGGGAGGGGAGGACGCTACCAGCTCCCTGTGTTTTCGGGAACATGTGGCTCTGTGACGGGGCAGGTGGAGTTCCCGCCCCGTCCTCACTCGGGAAGGACCCCAGCGGCGCAGAAGCTGTGTCCAGTCTGGTGGGACGCGGTGTGCAGCGGACCTCACATTGGAGGCTGCTGGCTGTCCTTCCAGAGGGCCCGCGTCCAAATAGAGGCGCTGGAAGCCAGGCCCCAGGCGGTGGGATGCCACCACGGGGACAGGGAGGACCCTGCGGGGCTGGGGGGCTCCACAACGTCAGGAAGCCGCTCTTCGGGTTATTTTTCATTTCAAGGCTGTTGTATTTTCCACTTGATGGAAAAAAAGGTTAATCCAGCCCCCAAGGTCTGAGCGGGGGACGGGGGACCCCGTGTAGGTGCCGGCTCGCCACCCACGCCCTTGACCGGAAGCGGCCTTGTCACTGGCAGGTGGGTGCCGCTGAGAGAATGCTGGACCTCCAGGGGGCTGGACGCCCTTGGTCCCGCTGGTCCCTGTTTCTGGGGGCCCGTTGCGTGGTGTGAGCTTCTCCTGGGGGCCCAGGCAGAAATGGGGGCTCCGCGTTCCGTCCTGCAGGGGGTCTGCGTTTCAGTAAAAAGAGGAGTGCTGTCCTCTTACTCAGAATGAGCTAGAACGTTTCCAGTATCTGCTGGTAGTGGCTAAATTTGGGTGCCAGAGTGGCTTGGTGGTTCGTTTTGATTTTGTTTAAACCTCGCGGCTCCCCACGTGGAGGGGAAGAGCGCAGAGGGCCCTGAGGAGAGACGCACGGGGTCGGCCACTGCCTGTACCTGAGACGGCCGCAGTCATCTGGCCACACCGGTTTTCCTCGCTGCCTGAAATCAGGAGTAAACCTGCCCCACCCTCTGTGCAGCCCCCTGAGTGACGGCACGCCAGACAGTGACCCCGCTCACCGCTTCTGAGCTCAGGCCCTGACGAGCCCCCTTCCCCGGGTGCAGGTGTGTGTGGGAAACCAGAGTGGCAGGGGGCAGGAGGCCACAGGGATGGACTGCACGCACGTCCCCTGCTGCCCACCACGCTCCGCAGCTTGGACTCCTGGTCACCTGTCTATGCCCAGCCGTCCGGGGACCCTGGCACTCCTCGGAGCCTCCTAGAAGCCAGGGCGTGAGGCCCGTCGCTGAGAACGGGGGTGCCTGTGGCTCTCGGGGACCCAGGGGGCTGTGGCTGCCGGAAGGGGGTCCGTGCCTCCACCAGCACCCAGTCCGTGTCCGGCTCGTAAACAGCTGCCAGGATAACTCGGGAATGAGGCGTCGCTGGGGCAGGAGGCGTCCCCCTGAGCCCCGCCTCTCGTCTGCAGGCCCGAGCGTCCTGCGGGGCACGAGGGGAGGGCGCCGCGTGCCAGGCTGGTAGGGAGCACCCTGGGGGGCGAGCCCCAGCGCCTGCTGACCCCTCCCCGTGCCCGCACCCTCCGCGGGGCCTAGAACCCGCAGGGCAGGGCCCACACTCGGGCTGTGGGCCGGTGGGCTTCTTCGGGGTCCCTCAGAGACCCCTGCACGCTCACATGTCAGGACTCCCGACTCCGGTGGAGAGAGACCCAGACGCAGTCCCCAGGCCACACCGGGCTTTGCAGACAGAAGCAAGACCAGCTATTCGTGTTCATTCGAAATATGCTTCCAGTACCTGCGTCGCTTCCTGCGTTTTCTCAGGTGGAGAAAATAGGTAGAATGGAAGTGTGTTCTGATTCTCTTTTTGCCTCAGAGGAGCGAACAAACCCGCTGGGCCGCTGGGCAGGCCTGTGACGATGGGGCAAGCCGCGAATTTCCGTCCTGGCCGCCTGGGAGCTCTGTAAGACAGGCTGCGTCCCCTCAGCTCTCCTCCACACCGCCGGCCATTCCCTGCCTGCCCCCAGCCCCCTCAGGCCCTGTCTCCACCTCTCACGCTGCCACCCCGGCCTTTGCCCCACCAGGGCCCTCCACCTGGAACCCGGCTCCATTAGCTCCGTTACACGGTCACCATCTCTCTAGTTACCCCGACACCCAGACCCAGGCGTGCCCCCCTGTATACACTGCACGTCCTGGACGCCGACCACAGGTGCCCGCCGGCCCGGCCTACGCTGGGTCCTTTGGAAACTTGGGGTGTGTGTCAGCTGGGGCTCCTGGTGGATCCCCTTCCTCCGGGCCCAGCGTGCTGGGTCCAGACAGAAGCCGGGTCTCTGGAATCACAATAACTGGGTCTGAAGCCTTGGCGAGCCATCAGTAAACGCAACTGAGACGCTTTTTTTAATGCCTGCTACCTCTCGAAGTGGATGCACAGAAGAGAGCCTTATGGCTTTTATTTACCATTTAGAAGCTTAGCAATTACAATGAGAAAACGACCGGTGTGCCTCTGACCTCCACAGACGGAAACTTACCGCCCAAACTTTCCAGAAGGCGCGTCGTGACCCAGACTCTGAAACCCGCCGTATCCCCCAGGTCAGGCTTCTCAGACTCGAATGTTCCTGACCAGCTCCTGGCTGACCCCAGGGCCTGTCCTCGGGTACGGGGCTGGCTGTCCCCCCACCCCCGCGCCAGTCTGGCAGAGAGCAGGGTGGGTTCTGTAAGGCCGCGTTCGTGGGCTTGCCTGTGGGGACCCCAGGGGCTCTGTCTGCATAGAAGTTGGACCCTGGTGGGGAGCGTTTGTGACGGCGGGATGGGGGCAATGGGGGGGCAGCCCTGGGAGGAGCGGGGCCAGCTGCACAGGCGCCCTGAGCCCCAGGGGGCTGTGCGGATTCAGTGGCTGTAAGACTGCGGGACTCGCAGGAAACGCTGCACGCTGCGCCTCTGGGCTGACACCGGCGTGGGGTCCTGTGGGCACCGCCCCAGCAGCCTGTGCCCCTAAATTCCAAGTGAAACACCAGGGGCTCCGGGTGCCAGCAGGACAGTGCTGGGCCGCCTCTCCTGTGCCCTTCCTGCTGCTGCTGACAGTGAAATGAATCTTACAGGGCTCTTTAAGATAACATTTGGGAAATTGTTTTCTCCTTTCAAAAGAGGAAAATGCCTTCCTGTAAGCAGGCGAGCCGGAAAGGCCCTGGCCCAGGGGTTTCTGCATGAGTGGTCACGACTGCGATTGAAAGGCCCGCCCGGGAGGAGGCCTGGCGGGTGTGGGAGAGAGGCCCCTCCAAGGGCTGGGCCGGTCAGATGTTTATCCTCTGGGAGCCCGTCTGAAGTGGCGAGAGAGAAAGCAATTTTTAAAAAAGTTTCCAGCAGATGCCTTTGGGAGAAGCCCATGAATTTCCTGAATCGCCGAGAGGCTACAATGCCGTCTGCCTGCCGGGCCCTCCCCATTCACTGTGCTGAAGCCACTTAAGCGCATTAGCATCTGGATGGGGTGACCTCCTCGCCGGGGGCTGGGCAGGGTGGCCGCGCTGGGCCGGATGGTCCAGGCGCTTGTTCTAATCCGGCCGTTTGAAGGCGGCCAGACTGATTTGTGACACATGAGTCCAGAAGCCACTGTGGGGGGCTTGACCTGAGTAGCTGTCTGTGCTCTGAATGTCAATGCCTGTCCTGGAGCGCGCGGCCCAAGGGGGATCGGCTTCCGGCTTCCGGGCCTCCCCGGGCCCTGGGGCCTGTTGCGGGAGGATGTCCCGCAAAGCTGGCTGCTTTGAGCCTCTGAGCCCCGCGGCCTCTGAGCCCCGTGGCTCTGCCGTGAAGTGACCTCACGAGGGCTCCTTAGACAAAGAGGGCTTTTTTTAAGTCAACATTAGTTCAGTTGCGGTGGTCTTACTTTCTTTCTTTTTTTAATAAAAATCACCTAGTGCTTTTTCCAAAACAGCCCTATCGAGGTATAACTTACACACGAACTGAAATCCAGCTGTGACCTTCTCACCCCACCTGTCCTCCGCGGCCCCCGCTCTGTCCTTTCTGGACTCCGCGTGGATGGACTTTCCTGAAGGGAGGGGTGCGGGGCCTGGTCTCCGCACATGCTCGCCGGCACTTGCCGTACACCTGGGGTGTCTCTCAGCCCGTTTAGAGCTGCACTTCGTCTCTGCGGTGTTGGTGTGGTCAGCGCGGCCCTGCGGTGCCCCTAACTGCACCAGGCCTCGCGGCCTCTGCGCCAGCCTCCAGCCTCGTCCTGACTGGGGAGCAACCCTGTTTAACCCCCATCCTGCTGCCTTTCCTCGCCCCACACCCAGGTTGGGACAGGGAGGATTTTCTAAAGGAGTCTGGATTTAATAGCGTTTTCAGCCTATCTGCAGTCAGCCTGTCACCCGTGCCCTTCCGTCTGCCCTGCCGCAGCTGGTGGGCGTCCCTGCCCAGGGCCCCCGACTTGGCCTCTGTGTGCCGCGTGCTGCCCCCGGGGCCTTTCTGGCTGCCCTTCACTGTCCCTCCCGCTGTGGCTGTGGAGGACCGCCAGTCAGACTGTTCCCTGCCCAGCCTCCACAGACCCCCTGGTCCCTGGTCCTCGGGGCAGCCTGGGGCGGCGGGCAGAGGGCCGGGTGTGCGGCCCCGCGTGTCTGGAGCCGCGGGTCCCTCCACGGGAGGTGTGAGCCCCTGAGCCGAGGTCGGGGAGCGGTGGAGGCGGGCAGCGGGCTGGCATGTCTCTGGGGACTGAGCTCCTTCCGTGTCTTTCCCAGACTCTCTGCACAAAGGCCACGATGCAGACCGTCCGGGCCGCCGACACCAACGAGGTCGTGAAGCTGATATTCCGAGAGTCGGACAACGACCGGAAGGTGAGCCCCTGAGCAGCTGTCTGTGCTCTGAATGCCAGTGCCTGTCCTAGGTGCGGGGGGTGCCGTGCCCGGTGGGCCCCGCGGCGGGAGAGGTGGGGCCCCGCCTGCTCTGACGGCCGTTCCCTTGGCAGGTGATGCTCCAGCTCGAGAAGAAGCTCTTCGACTACTTCAACCAGGAGGTCTTCCGGGACGACAACGGCACTGCGGTGAGCTCTGGCATCCGACGTGCGGCTGGTCCCCTAGCAGCTGCTGTGGGGTGGCGCTGGCCCCCGGCTCCTCCCAACGCCCCCGCTTCCCCAGAGCCATGCTTCCCGGTGCCGTCACAGCCTGTGGGTCGGCTCCTGAACCCTCACCCTCCCGTCACTTCTCCACTGGGCCCTTCCTGGGGGCGCGTCCTGCCGCCGGCTGGGCTGCAGCCACCGGCCTCGCTGCCTGTGCTGGCCAGTGTGGCTCTCAACACTGGGGTCCTCCCCGGTGAGAGGCAGAGGGCTAGGAGCTTTGGGTGCGGAACCCCTGGTTCAGGGCCGGCCCACAGAGGCCTGGGCTTCCTTTGGAAAGAAGAGAACCACCGTGCAAATTTGCGGGGGCATCTCTGTGGCTGCGAACGCACGTGTGTGCGTGTGTGTGTGTGCAGCGGGAAGTATTGGTATGTGTGAGCAGACGCCTGCAGTTCAGACCACCCGGCGGGCACGGCCCCTGCAGCGGGAGAGCCGAGGGGGCCCTGCACCTGCGGTGCCCTTTACTTCTTGTGCGCTCAGAAGAGGGCTCACATCTAAGTGGAGAGGGGCTCTCCAGATGTCCAGCAGACTCTGCCAGCCTGTGAACCCGCCCTACCTTCCTGTCCTCCCCGGAAGCCCTCGTCCCCCCCCCGGGCCTCCCTCGCCTTGCACGTCCGGCGGCTCCTGGGCCTGGACTCGCCACACGTCTGAGTCTGCCGCCCCCGGCCGTCGCCCCCCCTGCCTCCTTCCCAACCCCTGCCCCTCTGTCCACCCCCAGCCTGGAGCCCGCCCGGGCCTGGTCACACGCCCACCCAGTCAGGCCCAGCTTTGGGCCTTGGCCACCTCCCACCACCGTCGGGTAAAGCCCGGGACCCTGACCTCTCCTCCGAGGCGCGGCTCACGCCCGGGGCCTCTGTGCTGACGCCCCACCCCCCCTGCAGCCGCACGGGGGGCACCTCTGCCCCCGCGGATGCTCCGAGCCGCCTCACGCACTGCCCCCTGCCTGTCGTGCTGCGTCCCCACGTCCCCGCGGCCAGTTCCCAGCTCGGCTGCGCAGGGGGCCTCGGGTCCCGGTGAGGTGGGCTCCTGCTGTGTCCCGCAGCGCCTGGGCTCAGCACACGGCACTCACGGCTCAGCTGCGGCCCTGCTGGGCTGGACGGGAGGCTCTGTACGGCGCGGCCGTGTCTGGCTGCCGTCCTGTGACTTCCCAGGCCCGGAACACGTGGGGCAGGTTTGGGGACACGACGCGTTCAGTGTGCCTGTGTGGGGTGAGGTGCCCAGGAGACTCGGGGTGCCGTCCGCTCCCTGGGCAGCCGCGCAACCCTCTGAGCTTGGAGTAGGGCGGGCGGGGTGGGCTTTGAGGGCCCCTAGCACAGAGACGGCCCCTCGAAGCCAGGGACAGTGTGGTTACCAGGGCGAGCAGAAAGCGGAGATGCCCTGAGAGGGGAACGGTGGACACAGAGAGTGGCGCTGGGGTGGCCAGGGGGCCAGAACGTTCTGGAAGGAGCCAGGACACTGGCGAGAAGGAAGGTCCACCGTGTGAGGGAGAAACAGGGTCCTGAGGCAGGTATGCGGGGCGGGGGTTGGGGGGGCACGGGGATGTCACGGTGGGTCCAGAGTCCCCGCTGCCCTCGGTTAGCACTTAGAGAATGTGTCACCACCCTGGAAACTACAGATGTCACCGTTAGACGTAAGCTCTAGTTCTGTATTTATTCACCATGTGAAATTGTGCTCCTTTAAGGTGGAGCAAAGTTAGTTTGAGTATCTGGGAGAAGTTTGAGGCTGACTCAGATGAGAAGACGCAGTGGAGTCGAAGCAGAGACGAGGTCTACACGTGGGTCTGGAAGGCCCGTGGCCCTGCCTGTCGGGTCAGGAATCTCCGGGGAAGGGGATGGCCTCGTGCGTCCCCGTGGTGCAGGGCCGAGGCTCCACGGCAACTGCCCCGGCAGCGCGGCGTGTCAGTCCCACTTGGGAGGCGGGCGTCCAGACCCCCCTGGGGGACGATGCATGGCCTGTGGAGCCCTCAGAGGACATCTTACCTTCACGCGATACGCCCACAGCAGGATGGATGTGCTGCTCCGGCCTCGGCCCCCAAATCCATCGCATCCTTGATCAACCACCAGCCTTGTTCCCATCTGACAGAAATTTAATTCAAGCTGGCTCTGAAAATAATTATTGTATTTTAAGAGTAGTAATCATTGGCCGGGACATGATTGAATGTGTCCATGCCTATTGACTTTTTCTATGATTTATAGCTTTGTTTAGTCGATATTCCCATCGAAATTGTATAATTAATTATAAGTGTGGCTGTCAGGGCTGCAGGATGGAGTGCCCTGGTGAGGATTTGGAGAGATTAAATTTTCTGCGGCTGTCCCAGGGCAGGGCGCGTGAGTTTCCACCGCGCTCGGCCTGTTGGATAGAGATGTTTTCTGGGTGTGTAGCAACTGCTCCAGCTCGGGGCGCATCGATTTTCCGGCTCTTTCCCTTTATCAGCGCGGCGTCTCTGCAGTAACTGAGGAATGTGTGCAGCCGGGACAGCGCCTGACAGATACGTACGATCAGCCACCACTTAATCATTGTCTACACACGCCCTGCTCTGTTTTTCACTTTGTAATCAAGAAGAATGTTAAAGATACATGTGAAATTGGTTACCACTTTGTGAAAAATCTCAGAGAGATACAGATTACCCTTTCAACAGAAATGCACTGTCATTTCTAATCAGAAACACCTCACGCTGGCCTCCAGTGGCAGCAGCCGTGGCTCCATCCCCCATCGTTCCCGTGGACTCAGGGCGTGGAGCCGTGGGGGCCGTGGGGCAGCAGGAACAAAACACAGCCCCGGGTACAAAGCATGTAGGAAGCACTCCACAGTAGACAGAGTCCACAGACATCAGATAACTGAATACTTGATAAAAATTATAAGATGAGATTTAAAGGTATTGAAAACATGAAAGCATCAGAAACATAAACAGATACCATACCCTGAAAAAAGCAGGCAGATTAAAAGATATGAGAAGTGCTAGCAGCGGTCACTGAGGTGGAAGTCTCCACAGGTGAGTTAAGTGTCAGGACGGACGCAGCCGGACGGCGGAGCTGACACCCCAGCGCGGCGCGCAGACCTCACAGGTCGCTGGGAGGCAGCGCCTGGAGGCTCAAGGCGGGGCCGGAAGGCCTGGTCCTCAGGAGCTCGGCGAGTCCTGAGCCGAACGCCAAACGCGAAGATGGAGAGCAGCCCGAGCGCCAGGGCCCCACAGGAAGGACGCGGGCAGCGGGCCTTGTGGGAGCGACAGCCGCCGCCAACCGAGGGATCGGCGGGAGGCCCCGCGGCGGGGCCGGAGCGGCGGCACTGAGCGAGCGTGCGGGCTCTGCAGACACGCGTGTGCCCGTCGCGCACAGGACGGGGCGGCGAGCCCATCGGGACGCCTCGCGGACTTACCGTGTCCAGGATGTTCCTCTTCTTCTCTCAAGAGTCTGAGTTAAAGTTGGGAGAAGCTGAAAGGCTTGGCAGCTCTCGGTGGGCGAGGCTCAGGCCGCTCGCCGCCTGCAGGTTCCCAGGTGCTGGACCGAGTCCTCTGGGGGGAGGAGGCCAGTCGTCAGGGGTGCCGTGGATGCACCTTTCCTGATGGTTGCGCCTGCCTGCAGCCGCCACGCAGCATCACGGCTGTCTTCCCGTCTGACCTGCGAAGGCCAGGAATTCACGCTTGGAGCGTTGTGGATGAGACGTGCTCGCCGGCCTCCGCGGGGGAGTGTGTACCTGCGAGTGTGATGCGAGGGCATCTCTAGGCCCACATGCGTGCAAACACGTGTAAGCACAGGACTGGTCCAGGCCTCACGCTCATGCTTCACCCCCCCCCCAACACACACACAGTTCTCCTCCATCCCCGGCACCCCTGAGGCGCTAACTCTGCAGCCTTCCGGAAGCTGTTTGGCCTGGGCTGCTCCCTGGAAGTGGGGTGTGTTTCTCCTCGATGCAGAGGCAGGGGCCACTGGGGCCGGGAAGCTGAGGGGCTCGGCCGCCCCCCCATGCCCGCCCCCGCCCTTCCCCTCCTGCACCCACAGCTCCTGCCCTGTGCCTCCCTCCCCCATCCCAAAACCCTTCCCCCACCCCATGCCCCTCCCCATCCTGCATCCCCTCTCCTGGCCCTGCACCCCTAGGGCCCCTGGCATGGCCGCCAGGGGGTTCAGAGTGGGGTGAGGTTTGCCACGGGTGCTTCTTCGCAGCAGATACGGGCTCACGAGTGTCACCTGTGGGGTCCAGTATCCAAGCCTCGCCAGGCAGGGTCCGAGGCTCTTTGTGCCCCCGTCTCCGGGTGTCCAGGATGCTGCAGGACCCTGTGTGAGACTGAAATCAGGCAGCTGTGTCTGAAGTGGTCCCGTTTATGCAAAAGGAGCTTTGGTTTATCCCCCCCCACGCAAACCACAGACGCCATCAAGGGCTCCTGCCGGGGGAGGTGTCAGCTCTGCCTCCCTCTGACCGGCCGATGGCTGGCCTGGTGCACGCAGGCTCAGCGGCGAGGGCCCCGTGCAGGTGGCGTAGGTAGCAGCCTGGCGCCCGGTAATTGCTGTGGCACGGCACCGCTAACTGCACGCTCTGGGAGTGATGGGTGAGGTAGCAGAGGGAGAGGACGGGTGTGGCCTCGGGCTCCCGCACAGCTGCAGGGCACGTGAGTGACGACCGCGTCCCCAGGGTGTGTGTGGCCATGGTGGCCAGACGCTGCCAGTGCCCTTCCCTCCTGGGGGCACGGTGCCCCGTGGGGTGTGGCTCTGAAGGGTCCCTCAGGGCCAGGTCTTATTTTTTATCTTCCTGTGTGAGGTCAGTGCTCTTACTCCTTTGACTTAGTTTGGGCAAAACGGTGTCCCCCCTGCTGGACACTGCCTGAGGGCACCTCGGAGGCGACGCCAGCGCCCACGGCGGCTGCACCGCGTGGTCTCAGCAGGGCGAGGTGGCCCTACGTGGCCAATCAGCACAGGTAGTGTGGGTCCAGCGCCGGCGGCAGAGGGGCTGAGTCCGGAGCAGGCCTCGCACAGAAGGGCTTGCAGGGTGCCCCGGGTCTCTCCGGCCACACGTCCAGGGGGCCCGCCCTTGGGAGGCCTGCACGCGGCCCGGGTGATGTGCAGGGCAGGTGCTGGAGCAACACCTGTTTCCCGGAAGTTGCAGGTCCCTGCTGCAGACAGACCCTCCCCCAGGGCTTCTTGGTGCCCCCTGGGAGGCAAACCAAAGTGACCCTATATTTTTTTCTGTTTCTTTCCTTCAGCTCTTAGAATTTGACAAAGAGCTGTCTGTCTTTAAGGACAGACTGTATGAACTGGACATCTCGTTCCCTCCCAGGTAAGGACCGCCGCTCGCTGGGCCAGCAGGTAACTGTCCTCCTGTCCGTGCATCTGTCTGTGCCCACCTGTGCCTCCTCCCCCTCCCCCACCCCCCACTGAGCACAGCAGGGTTCTGTTCGCTCCTTTCTCCCAACATGGCCTCTCAGATTAGCCTACGAGGGACCCAAACAGGCAGCTCTGTGTTCTGGATCTTTCTGGAACCGTCGTGGCGTGGGTTTTGGTTTGGTTTGTCCGTGTTTGTCTTTCTCGGGTATGTAAGCTTTTGCTGGGTTTTGCTCTGGTGTTCCCAGAGTCTTGAAATCTGCAGGAATAACAGTGCGTTCCCTCCCGACCAGCCCGGGGCTGCAGAGGGCCGGGGTGGGGGGAGAGAGACGATTACGAAGTGGCCAGGACACCGGGTGGGCGCTCGGCCCGCGGGCCCGTCTGGAAGGACACGGATGCCACATCACGGGCTCCTCCCACCCATCTCTCTCCTTTCATAGATTCCAAGTACGAGTTCTTATCACTTGGGAGAAAATGGGCCTTGGGCAGGTTCAGGGAAGCTTTCTCAGGTAGACGGGACCTGGTGAGCAAGTGGGGCCGAGAGCGCCGCCTGGCCCCACCTCGTCTGCGTCGGGCCTGGCAGTAAACGCGTCAGATCCACGTCAGAGGAACGGTTGGCCTCAGAACGCGCTGGGGAGCCAGGTCCTCTCAGGCTCCCTCTGAAGGTCACCCCTGCTTCCTGGGCCACACTCCAGTGGTCAAACGTGTGCAGGCTTGAAGGGCCCCCACCATCCACTGGACATAGGACTCGCTACGGGTCCAGGCTCTGGCCAAGGCGGCCGGGCGCTCGCAGCTCAGGGTCGGTGCCCAGACCAGCGGTGCGAGGTTCAGGGGCCAGAGAAGCAGGGACCTGGGCCCTTGGGGTGCCTGGTGAGCCCCCAGCAGCGGCTCCAACACCTGTGAACTCGTGACTCAGCGTTTCAGGATCAGAAGGGCGGCCCTCAGCAATGCCGTCCAGGTGCTGACCACCACGTTGCCCTCAGTCTCTGACGCTACTTTAAACGTACACATCACGTGCGGTGAACCGTGCTCCCAGGTGCAGCTGAAGTCTAAAGACGTCCCGAGGGACTTGTTCAGCCGCGCCTCCTGAGGGTAGTGCCGGGGTCTGGAGCGCCCCTCCCGCTTGACCGGGGTCCAGCGCCTCTCTCAGGGCTGTGGAGCCGGCCAGGAGGGAGGGGGCCTGGGGCTGCCAAAGGCATAGCCCTGTGGACGTGTGCCCTGAGCTGGCGTCAGCCCCTCGAGCGTCTCCCAAAGGCCGCAGCCTTGAAGGTCACCCAGGTGCGAGGCGCAGAAGATGCAGGCAGGACCGGCCACAGGACCTCGTGGTCCGTGCTCAGGTGGCCGAGGGACGAGCCCCCACCCCTAGGCAGCAGAGAGACTGGCACGTCCAGAGTCGGGAGGGACGGGGCTGCGTGGTCCAGCCAGGCCCCGGCTGGCGGTCTCCAGGAAGCAAGGGCCGTCCCCCCGGAAGGCGGCCGTAGCCCTGGCCTCTGAGATCCCAGTGGTAGGTGGGGGTGGGCATGCTTTGGTGCCAAGCCGGAGGAACTCCAGGGAGGGCCTGGGGTTCGTCAGGGTACCTGGGGCTGCGGGCACCTCGAGGGCACCTGCGCTCAGTCTGGGGCACACCTGCCTCGGTGTTTGATGGACTCGTGTGGCAGGAGAATGACCTCGAGAGGTCCCGCCCTCGTCTGGGAACCTGTGGACGTCCTGTGACTTTGCAGGTGCGTTAGGAATGTGCCTGTGCTGTAGGGGCGGCGTCCTGGGCCGCGGGGCCCCCGCAAGCCCATCACAGCAGAGGCCCCCGTCCTCCTGGAGGTGGCGGCTGCCACCCGAGGGAGGTGGCCTGGGCGGGGCAGGCCGCCGGGGGCACTGGGAGGACCATCAATTTAGGGGCCGGATTTTCTCCCTTTAACTGGGAAGTAGCATTCGAAGTCTTCTGAGGTGGGAAAAATCGTGGTTTACAGACTGAGTCATCAGCTCCCAAAGCTGGGGGTCCAGCTCACGGTAGGAAATATACTTGGCCTGTCAGCCCTGTCACAGCCAGTGGTGCAAGACCCAGCAAAGGCTCCTGAGGCCTTTCCGGCCACTGCCTGGCTCATCCATCCCTCCCCCACTGCCCAGGTCATCTCCCCGCACTGTCCAAGTCACCCACCCCTCCCCCGCTTCCTCCCGCACTGCCCATCTTCCCCTCCTCTGGTGCCTGGGTCACACCCATCCCCCTCCCTTGGCTCTGTTGCATTTTAAAAGCATGTTTGTGACCATCGGGCCGAGCTCACAGCCCCCCAGGGTTGCCACGTGGGGTCTGGAGGGCTGTTCCAGACGTGGGACAATGTCAGCGGAAGCAGAAGCGGGACAGCAGGAGGGACTTGGTTAGAAACGGTGGCTGTGTGGTTTGGTACCCACATGTGGTCTCTGACTGTGCCGGAAAATAAGTGATCTCAGGCGTGCTGTGTGTGTGTGTGTATGTGTGTGTGTGTGTGTGTGTGCAGGAGCGTGAGCTGTGCACACGTGTGTAGTGTGTGCACAGGATTGTGCATGAGTGTATTCACCTGTGCACACTGGAGGCACGTGTGCCTGTGGCAGCACATGGGGGTGGGTGCATGTGTGTGCATGGTATGTGCACGTGTGTGCAGGGGTGTGTGTGTACCTGTGGGTGTGTGTGCAGGATGTATGCGATCGGATTATAGGCTGATTGCGTGTGTTTGTGCAGTGCATGGGCTTGCGTGTGTGCATATAGTATCCACGTGCACAGATATGGGTGTGTACACGTTGGAGTGTACGTACGTGTACGTACGTGGTGTGGGTGTACACGTGTGCATGCAGAGTTGTACGCATACATGGTTGTACGTGCAGACGTGTGGTATGTGGGTGTATGTGCATGGGTGTGTGCAGTATGTCTTGGGGTGGGGGGGTTGTGTATGCACATGTGCACGGTGTGTGTACGCATGAGCCTATTTGTGGTGTGGGTGTGTGTGCGTGTGTGCAAGTACATGGCTGTGTGCAGGTGTGCATTGCATAGGTGTGGGCATGTGTGTGCATGAGCCGTGTTTGCACATGTACATGGTATGTGCACACATGAGCGAATAGGTGTTTGCATGTACATGGGTATTTACATGGTGTGTGTGCATGTGCATGGTGTGTGCATGAGCTTGTGTGCAGTTCGCGCGTGTGGTGCAAAACTCGTGTGTATACGTGTATGCACGTGTGCTTCCTGGGTGTATGCACTGCCTGCACGGGTGGGGGTGTTGCTGGGGCATGCAGGGGGTGTCCTCTGTGCACAGCTATGAGCCTAGGGCCATCTCCCGCTCTTGGAAGCTGTCGGGGGCTTCTGGCCTGGAGCGGTTTCCTTGCAGACCGTCCATCTATCGCTTCTCTCCGAGCTGAGGGGTGGGAGCCACTGAGGAGCCGCCTGAGGAGCCTGGCACCTGGGCTGCCCTGGTCCTGCACGGGGAGGGGCAGGCGGGGGCAGGTGGGCAGGGGAGGCGCCCTGGAAGGAGGCAGGAGTCTGCAGGGGTGCCCGCCCGCTGCACGTCCTGCCCACAGGGCCGTCCTGCGTCCAGGCTCCACCACGCTGCCCTCTTTGAGGTGGAAAGGCGGAACCTCCCGCTTCTGTTTCTTCTGGTGTGGCTGAGCCCGTGGGGACCTTTCCGGAAGCCGTGCTGATCAGTGAGGGACACCACGTCTGCGTTTGTCTGCGTGGCCTCGGGCAGGGCGGGGTGTGCATGTGGCAGCCCCTCAGTCACAGAGAAGGGCCACGCCAGCCCCTTCGCACGCTCCCGAGGCCCGTGTCATCCTCACGACTGCGTTCTGTGAAAACGGCCCTTCCCTCCCACGTGGGCCAGGCGGTCGGGACAGAGGCGCGTGGGCTCCAAGGCCGTGGGCCCTCGCGCGTGGCTCTGGGCGTTTGTGGGGACGGTCTGTGCTTCACTGGCTGCCGGACTCTGGCCCCTCCTGGGGGCGGGGCCGGGGGGTGTGGGCAGTGTCCGTTCAAGGGGTAGTGGGCACCCCAGGCCGTCGTGCCTGTCCTCACCCAGCTCTCCTCTCTGTGAGGCCTGTTCGCTGCAGCTTGTCAGCCGGGGAATTAGCGAGAGCCATGGGCATCCCTGGTGCCAACGGGCAGTGCCACGGGAGCAGGGTGTCCTGGTTTTCAGAACCTTTCTGCGCCTTTTGCCTTTGTTATCCAAGCAGTGGACTCACCGCAAACTGGCTGCGGAGTCCTGTTCCCCGTTCTGGTGGAGGCGAGCGCTCAGCTGCTGGGGGCCAGGGGCTGGGGGCGGGGTCAGTGCAGAGCCTGGAGTGGAGGCCACCGGGGCCCCCGTGGCTCCAGGCTGTGGCTAATCGCATACCCGGGACAGTCCTCAGAGATGCTCGAGCAGACAGGTCTCCTAAGGAGAGCGAGGGGGCGGGGGCGAGTTTCTCGAGCAGAGGCGTTCGTGACTGTTCTCCGCGGGCTCACAGAACTCCACTCCTAATGGACTGTAACTCAATGCTGTGTGTCACTTTGCTGGAAGAGGTGCTAATATTTCAGGCGTTTGTAGAGCCTTCAATTCTCGTTCTTCTCAGCCTCGGGGACAGTTTTGCACCTTCGTGAGGGACAACCACGAACCGACCGGCCGGTTGGGGTAGAGACAGGGAGCGCGGCCAGGCCAGGCTAGTGGGCGCACGGGGTGCCCGCCATAGAGACCCTCCGGGGCCCACCCTGCGCTCCAGATGATGCCCGCCAACCCCAAGTGGCCAGGGACGGCACGCGGGACCAGGCCAAATGAAGGCCTTTAAGGCCACGTGGTGTTTCCACGTGCTGGTGACGTAAAAGGCTTTAAGTTCGTGCTCAGAATAACTGGTGGGCAAAGAGTGTGACGCTGGCGCTGGCATGAGCCGTGCCCACCTGGTCTGTCTGTGTGACCGGCCTCGAGGCCGGTTGTTTGCCGTGGACGAGGCGACAGTCAGCTTTCCGCGTCCTGCGTTGTCATCCTGTCCACCCTCCCTGCTCTCCGGCCCAGCGTCCGCTTGCGGCTCCCACTCTCAACCCGGATTTGGGCCGATCGCGGGAGCCCCCCTTTCCTCTCCCCAGGATGGCCCGGCGTGAGTGGCAGTGCTTTGGGACGCCCCAGAGGTGACCACCAAAGCCTGCCCTGTGCCTCCAGCAGGGAGTTTCTAACGTAGAGTGTCTTTCTGAGTTACTGTCGTTGGTTTTAAAATAAAGAGATCAAAGTATGAATATGAGATGGCTTAGCTGCCTTTTCCACTAATGTGGTGGCAGCAGGCTTCCCGTGGTGTGGAATCCTCCCGCGGCCCTGCACGCAGCCCTGCCCTGGACCCAAGTCCCTGTGGAGCGCTGCTGCCCACCTGCGCCCTCAGAACCGCCCCTGCCGCAGGAAGCCTCCCGTCACTGAGGCTCGAGAATTCCCAGAGGTGGCGGGATGCGCCCCACACGCTCCCCTCTCGTCCCACTGACTCCTAGACGGTGTCTCCCAGGCCTGAGATTCAATCAAGGAAGCATTGGCGTGGCTTTGCCTGGGTGGGGCTGAGGAGGGGACCGCCCCCAACACCATGACAACAGCAAGCAGCGTCTCCGTGAAATCGCAAACATAGAGCTTACCTTCCAGCCCCTGACAGGGTCTCGGGGCCCCTGGGGGTCCACACGTCACGGCCGAGAACTCCCCAAACCTGGAAGTAACCAAAACGCCACCTTTAGCGGATAGACGTCGGCCGCTGAAGCGGCCGGACCGCTGCTCCCCGCGGACCTGGGAGCAGCGGGAACCAAGGGGCCGGGCGCTGCCGCCTGTGGCGCGGGAGCCGCCGGGGGGTGGAGGGGTGATGCGGCCCCTGCGCTTGTGGCCCTGCGTGCGCCTCAGAGTGAAGCTGACTGGGGAGGTGGACAGACGCACAGTCAGAGTACACACCTCGCCAGAGAAAAGTCACACCTTCCCAAGGACGGACAAAAACGCTCCACGGTGGGAAAGAGGTTTTTACTGGGCAAGTTACTTACAGAAAAAGATCCAGCGAGAGCTTTCGAAAAAGACAAAAATATACACAACACAGGGATGAAATATATCACACGGCAAAAATATACACAACACGGGGATGAAATATACCACACGGCAAAAATATACACAACACGGGGATGAAATATACCGCATGGCAGAAATATACACAACACGGGGATGAAATATACCGCATGGCAGAAATATACACAACACGGGGATGAAATATACCACACGGCTCTGGCCAGAGGAGGCCGTCTCTCTTCAGTGGATACATTTATTTTTATATTAAAGATTCGAAGACACTTTTCAGACTTCTTTTTGGGCCATAATTCAACTTTGGACCATCTATAGATTCCTCTCTGTAACGATAAATATAAGATGGTGACATTTGGACAAAAAGGCTGAGCTCCCTGCTGTGTGCCCGGCCTGGTTCTTGGGAAGGGAGCCAGGAAGCTTGTCCAGCTGGTCACTGAGCCCCGGGTGGACACGGCCCACACCGAGGCACGGGGGCCAGCGCTGAGGGGCGAAGGGCCAGGGCACCGGTTACTCGGGAAGCCGCCGGTCACCCCACGGGGATGCTGCGGGCACCTGTGTCCACAGAGCCGGGTCAGCTCTGTGGCTCTGACCATGGGCCCCTCCTCCCCACGGCAGTGTGAATGTTATTGCCCAGTTCAGGGGCAGCTTCCTTCCACCTCCTTTTCTTTCCCAGGAGTCTCAGGTGTTTGGAAACTGAGTTCCTGCGCGGCTACGGCCTGCCGGCCTCCGGGGCTGCAGGCACGGGGGGACGGTCTGCCGATTCGCTGGCCCCGCGGGCCCGTCTGCCCTCAGCAGGGCCACGACTTGGGAACACTCACGTTCTCCCCGAGCGAGAAGCCCAGGAGGGTCTCCCCCAGCACCCCCAATTCTCCGCCTCCCGCTTCGGTGAGAACTGGGCCTGTCTGGCCAGGTGCAGGGGCCCCCGCCCCCTCCACCCTCAGGGTCCTCCTGAGCCCGCGTCTCTCGCGCACGGCGGCCGGCCCTGCGGAGTCGGGCGGCCGACACAGTGGGCCTTTGTGCCTCCGCGGCCTGGCTGCTGGCCTCGGGCCCTGGTGACACCACCCCCCTGCCCGCCGCTCAGATGCAGGCCGAGCCTTGTCGGCAGCACCCTGGCAAGGGGGCCGCTTGCCCACATCCTGCATCCTGCGGGAAGGAGCCCGAGGCGCTGGGCGGACAGGTGGGCAATTGTTAGCTTTATCGCAGGGCCATTCGTTGTGGCGTCACTCCCCACCGTGCGGGGCCAGGCCAGCGGCTCCGTCCCACGTCCCCGCCCTGCGCAGCGTTTGCTTTCAGATAAGTCCGCGTGTGCAGCGAGCATTAATCATCGGCAGCCCCGGCAGGCAGTGCTGGGCCATCCTCGGAGTGGCCTGGGCAGGGCCCCCCTCTCGGGCCCATGCCGGCCTTGCCCGGCCCGTCTGCACCGGCACCGCCCTGCTCACTCCTGGCCTGGCTCTGGGAGTGGCTGGCCCCTTCCGGGAGTCTGTCCACAGCAAGGGCCCCCGGTCCGTGGGGTGAGGGTGCCGCCCCCAACCGCCCTGCCCGTCCGGCCAGGGCGCCCCTCACGGCCAGCTTCTTTTGCCCGCTGAATCACACGTGGGCAGGCCCCACGGCAGCAGCAAGGTTGAGGACACGGACTGAAGGCCCGGGGGGAAGCTTGTCACGGCTCCGGGCCTCCCGGGTCCTTCCCTGTTACTCCTCAGCAGGCTGACTGTCCCCGTGATGGCCCGTCAGTCAGCTCCTGGTGGTGGACGGGGGTCTGGCCTCGGGCCCGGACACCCTGTGACAATGGCTCTGCGGTGTGCGTGGGGACTGTCCGTCACTCACCTGAGTGGGCTTTTCCTGCTGTTTCTAATGCAGGACCCTTGCCCTGGGCAGGTCCCCAGGGGGCTCTGTGGGCATTGGGGTGCAGCCTCAGTGGGACCCCCGATGGCCAGGGCTCCCGAGGGCTTTCCCGTAGCAACAACGTCATAGGTGCAGCTGAGGGTCACGTGGTGGTTCCTGAAGCCCCCGGGACTCTATCCCACTCCCGTCTGCGCTGCGTCTCTGAGGGATGCTTTGAGCCGGCCCGTTCAGCACTCCTGGAGCAGCGCGCGTCTGCGCGGCTCCTGCCTGGCAGGGAACGTGGGCGAGGCCCGGGGTGGCCGGCTCCACCTCCCAGACCTCCTGTTGACCGCAGATGTCCCACCGGGTGAACCTGGCCTGCCCCGCCTCACGGTCAAGGACCAGCTTGGGTGGGCTCAGAGCACACGACCTTCCTAGCCCTGGCCACAGCCCTGCCGGCCGCTCTCTCCCCTGACCTTGGCCTCCAGTGGAGGGGGCTGGGGGCTTGCTCTGTGCTCAGCACATCCTGCTCTGGACACTCAGGGTCGGCCCGTGCGGACCCCGATTCCTGCAGCTCCCGGGAGGATGGGGTGGGCAAGCGTCGCTCCTTCAGGACCACAGCCAAGCTAGGCTGGGACGTGCCTGGACAAGCCCGCCGTTGGCCCCCCTTTCCCTGAAGGACGTTGTGGGGTGGTCAGCGCTCTGTGCCGTCAGCAAGGGTGATGCTGTTAGAAGCAGAGAGCAGGGGCGTTTGGTTTGTAGCCACGATGCTGCTTTGGGTCTGCAACGAACTAGATTCCTGCAGGGCCTGGGGCCGTAAGTCACCGTTTCTGACGAGAGTGTGTGGAACACTCTGGAGGATGGAGTAAGCTGAGAGCCGTTAACTCAGGTTCTGCGGACCCTGTGACCCACGGGCCACAGAGGGAGGGAGGAGGGGCAGAGGCCCCACGCGAGCAGGTGCCCAGGACAGAGCAGCTCAGGGAGACGGTGGCATTTTTCTCCTCCAGCTGAAAGCACAGGAAAATTTAACAGAGAGTACAGTGCCATTCACAGCAAACACCATGGGGTATTTTGGAGCTGGTCTAAAAAGCACATTAGACCTTGGCAAGGAAAAAATTTAGACTGTATTGAAGGCCATAGGAGACGCACCCCGAGAAAGCAGACCCGCCATCCTCATGGGTGTGCAGGGAGCACGGCTGAGGGTCCCCCAAAGCCCGTTAGTTCATTCTGGTTAAATGCACCTGCTGTTAGTTCAGTGCAGCCCAATCAAAATGCCCACGGTGGGCAGTGCAGAGCCCGGAGCCGGAGGTTCCGGTGAGTTCCGGGCCTCAGCCAGGCGGCTAGTGTCGGGGTGTCGGGGGCTCAGCTGGTGGTCACAGGCCCCACCTGCTCGCCATGGCAGTCGGTCGGCTGCGGTGGCCCCATTCCCAAGGGGCCCCAGGCGTCTCCCCGCTGCCGCACCGGGGCGGTGGGCGGGAAGAAGGGCCCGTGCGGCCAGGGCAGTAAGTCAGGGCCAGGCACACACTCCGCCGCAGCGAAGGTCCAAGGCCACGGCCCCGGGCACCTGGGCGCTTCCTGAGGTGGACGCCGCGGTGGGACAAGGGTGTGCGTCAGTCTGGGCCCAGGCGTCCGTAGGCTCCTGGGCAGGTTTTCGTTGGGCTGTAGGCCGCATCCAGAAATAAAACCAAGTTCAATAGACGTGTCCACGTCCTTGGGGAGGGTTTATCTGAAGTGCTGGGGGGGACAGTCCTTTGACTTTATTCTGGAAACTTCCATCTGCCTGTTCTCACCCTGGACAGGCTCGGCCTTTCTGAGGTGCGTGGGGCAGAGCCCACACCACCCTCCCCCGGGCGCGGAGGAGGGGCTGGAGGAGGGGCCCCGTGGCTGCTGACCGGTGCCTTCCTGTCCTGTCTCCCCAGCTACCCATACAGTGAGGACTCCAGCCAGGGCAGGCAGTACATGAACACCCGGTGCCCCGCCTGGTGTGACCGTGTCCTTATGTCCCCGTCCGCCAAGGAGCTGATTCTGAGGGTAAGTGTGAGGGCTGCGCGGGCCAGAGCCCGGGCGGGTGGGGAGCCTCGGGCCAGGGGACGTGCCCTCCTGCCGGCCCGGATGAGCCCTGACCCCGTTCTCGGGGCTGGGATGGAGCCCGATCTCCAGTGTCTTTCTGGATTCCAAATAGGCATAAACTGTCACCAGTGCTTTAGGAATCGTTTTAGTTTATTGTGTCCTCGGGGGAGTCAATGAGCTCTTGTCTTCGAAAGAGCTTGGGAGCTATGAAGTCCGTCCTTATTTTCCTAAGTTGTAAATCAGAGCCAGAGTCACACTGGGGCTTGAGAAGTTACGGATGCACGGCCAGCGCTCAGGAGGCAGCCCCGTGAGACCGGGTGCACGGCCAGCGCTCAGGAGGCAGCCCCGTGCGACCGGCACGGCCAGCGCTCAGGAGGCAGCCCCGTGAGACCGGGTGCACGGCCAGCGCTCAGGAGGCAGCCCCGTGAGACCGGGTGCGGAGAGTTTGAGCTTCCTGGAGCTTCTCGATCTCCCGGGGTTTTTCAATGCCCACATTTAACACAAGAGGACTGCTCTAGAGAATCAATATCTGCATTGGTTTTGTCAACCCCATCAGTGAAAAAATATAATAACGAGGTGCATTGATTCATCAGGGCAGCGGTCTGGCCTCTGCGTGATGTGGGCCGCCAGTTAGGAGGGGGCAGGAGGTCCCCACGGCCCAGGCCATCCCCCAACCTCAACCCAGTACGTTTTGGGCTCTAGTCACCACCCTCCACAGCCCCCGAGGCTGCTGCAAGGAGCCCTGTCTGCGCCACTGGGCCCCGGGCCCTTTACCCAGAGACGCAGCCAGGAGGGCAGAGCCCCCTTGGCCTGCCCAGGTGCACGCCCGTCCCCCTGCTCAGCAGCCCCTGCAGCCCCCCTCCAGGAGGCCCCGCTGCTGGCCTTTCTGGGGCGGGCCGGCCCTCCACACTCTGCCTTGAGCCAGAGCCCCCGGGTGCGTGGGGAGGGAGGCCGCTGGGCCCAGGTTGGAGGTGGGGACGCATCGGGTCTGCGGTGAGCTTGCTCTGACGGGGCCTGGGGGCAAGGGCCTGCGCCCGGCTGTGACACACCCGCCCCCAGAGCACATCACAGAGGACAGGCGCTGGCTGAGCTACTCCCACAAGCAGCCTTCCCGAAGGGAGCTGCACGGGACACTGGCCCTGACCACACAGACCCAGGCAAGCATGCCTGGTGCCCGGCCCCGGATGCAGCCCTGCCCTCTCTGCTGGGCCTGCCCTTGGGGCCCTGAGATGCCATGTGAGGACATAGCGGCTCACACCGGCAGGCGAGCTGAGCACAGGGCTGCGTCCAGAGAGGGTGCCTCAGGGGCCTCGGGGCGCAGAGAAGAGGTGAGTGTCCTCTTCCAGGGAAAAAGACATCCTGCGGTAAACCCACCAAGACAGCAGGAGTGCGTAGGATGGTGAGGGGGTTGCCCAGGGCTGCAGACGCGTCCAGCAGAAGGCGGCACTGCAGGCTGTGTTACCTGCGTTCACATCATGGCAGCTTCGGGGCCCGAGATTTGATGCTGCAGACACAGCGGGGACAGAGCTCGGCTGGGTGGCCCAGTGTGGGGAGGGCCCAGCGCCTTCCTTGGCGGGGGGAGCCCCGGCAGGCCCTCCCCTGGGGGCTGCCCGGCGGGTGGCAGGCGTTACCAGCCCCCTGGCCGTGGCGCGAGCAGCTTCCGCGGCGTCATCCATCATGCCACGCTCGGTCACCTCGGCATCATGTTCCTTCTGCTTCCCGGCCCCGGAACACGGAGGTGGCGGGCGTGCTGATGAACGCGCAGCGAGGTGTGCGGCGCCCGCTAACTTGTTTATCTGTCTCACGATTATGCACTTGGAAATCACAGTTTCATGCTGCCTTTGTAAATTACCACGCTGCGCTTGAGCGTTTCCCCACTCCGGGGAGGTGCTGTGCTGGCGAAGGATGCGCAGAGGGTCTGTCTTTATGCCTTCTGGCAGCGACCGTGCTGGAAGGGAAATCTGACCTTAAGCTTCCCGCTGCATTAAAGATGATTCAGTTTATAGTCTCAGTCGCTTCAGCCGAGGATGTGAAATCCTGGCCCAGCTGGAGCCACAGCCGACCGACCGCGGGAACACAGCCTTGGCCGCACACCTGGAGTTGAGGTGCCTGTAGGCCGGCAGAGGAGGGAGGGCACCCTGTGCACACAGCCCTGCGTCACTGGGCGCAGACCGCTGGGTACGGCAGCGTGGCGTTCGGGGAGTCTGTTCTCGTTTGAACAGGGAGTTCTGGGTCACCAACAAATGGCAACAGGGCAAACAGGAACCGGTGGGCTTCCTCAGTGCCGGGGGCACAGCTGGAAAGAAAGCTCACAGCTGCCCCGACTGCGGCGAGCATGGTCCAGGGCCCGGCCCAGAGGCAGAGGGGAGCTCGGGCTCCACACCAGCGGCCCGTGTCGCCACCTCCCAAGGCCAGAGCCCTCCCACCTGGGACAGCTGGGTGCCGAGGTGCTGCCCGGACTGCCCAGACCTCCCTCCTAGGGGCCAGAGGCACACTGGCGGCTCTGAGCCGGCCGGAGCCCCACGGAGACGTGGGCGGGGTGGCCACGGGCGGAGCATCGCTGGGCTGCCTCCCGCTCGCTGCTCTCCCAGGAAACCCCACCATTTCCACCTCCCATGCCTCTCCCTCTGTTTGCTTTTCCCAGTCGGAGAGCGAGGAGAAGGTTGTCACCTACGACCACATCGGGCCCAGTGTCTGCATGGGAGACCACAAGGTGACAGAGCCGTGCCGCGGTCTGGGGGCTGGGCCCGAGGGGCGGGCCGTGGTGGGCTTTCCAGGCTGGGGGCCGTTTCTGCTTCTACTGCCCCTCTTCTCCGCCTCCTTCGTCTGCTTCACAGAGGAGGCCAAGTTGGTCTGTTTTTATTTAACTTTAATAAAATACCAGAAGGTAGGCAGGTAGGGGCTAGACAGGCAGGTAGATGAGAAGGCAGAAGTGACTGGTCACAGGAGGATAAACTGCGCAGTGTTACTGTTTGTAGAAGGAGGCTGTGTCCACCGCTGGCCGGTTCTGGGGGCCGTTTCCTGCACTCAAGTACCTTCCTGGCTCCTGATGGCGACCGCCCACCACCAGTGCGGGCGGGACACGGGCGTGTCACCGACCCAGTGCCTCGGGGGAAACACCGAGTATTTGTTCCGGGACTAACTTTGTACATGTGACTGGCCCGGGCCCCTCCGAGGGGCGTGTGGTGACGGGTCGTGTGTCACCATCAGCCACGTGAGAGACGTTCACCGTTTCCCATTTTCAGGGCCTCTGGGCGGGTCGCCCACACTGCCCAGTGGGCCGGATCCCAGGACGGGCTCTGTCCTTCCCCGTGTTCTTTGGGCCTGAAATCAGCTCTCACGTTGTCTTTATCTGGAAACAACACCGTCTTTAGAGAACGCGAAGGCCCTTTGCCTCTAGCCTCTGGTCGCCCAGTCCCACCAGCTCCTCGGGAACTGGGGCCCGGCGCTGGGCCTGCGGGCCGCGGCCGGGAAGCCCGGGAGCGGGGTCTGGGCGCCCGGTTCTGACAGCCTCTCTTCTCCCGCTGCAGCCCGTGTTCCTGGCCTTCCGCATGGCGCCCGGGGCAGGTAAACCTCACGCACGTGTGCACAAGTGTTGTGTGGTGCAGTGAACTGGTGGTAAATATGCCTCCTCCCTCGAGTTCACCTTTCTGAGCTTTTTGTGGTGTGTCTGTCCCCTTAACAAATGGCTGATTCCACGGCAGGGAAGCGATGCCAGCGCCACGAGGGGACCCCCGGCGAGACCTCCCTGCAGCACGAGGAGCCACGTGCTCTGACAGCTGCATCGACAGACCCGCCTGAGCGCCACTGCTAGACGGCCGGCCCCACACGTCGCTTCAGCCCGGACGGCGCTCCGGACAAGCCTCACATACCTCACTGTCGTGTCTGCTCGTGTGACATCAAGTAGAAACATTGGGATTTTTTAAATAAGTCACAGTCCTGTTGCCAAAACTCTAATAGACAGCAAAGAGATTCTGCATTTTAGACTTCACGGTTTTCGATTTTTAATCATTGTCAGCGTGGAGGAGCTTCTCCGGCGTAGAAACCCCACAGGGCTCGGAGTCCTCTCCGTGGCGGGGCGGCCGAGGCTCTGCCGGCCAGCGGCGTGGCCTCGCTCTCACTTCTGGGGGCCCCTGTTCCCTGTTAGTCACATGGTTTCTGAATCACACTGCGGCTGCTTTCCATTTTTATATATATAAATATATATAAATATATACTTTTTAAAAATAATTTATAAACCTTACCAAAACTTACGCTAAATATACTTTCCAGTATGAACGCTTGAGTGTCATATCAGCAGGTAGAATTGGCGTCTAGGGGTTTGGTTACATGCACGTCAACACACAAGGCTATAAAACAAGTACTACGACCCAGCAGAGACGTCAGGGGTCAGACCGACCACAGCACGTCCATACGAGCAGCTGGAGACTCCTAGGCCTTTTTCTGTCTCATATTAAGAACTGAATGTGAAGTTTATAGCTCGCTCGGGTGTACCTTTTAAGAATTTTGTAAACTGTTTTGTCTGTCTTTTGTTACCGTTCTATGGTGCCAAGTATTCTACATAAAACAATAATATCATGGGAGAAATAAAAATAGCTAGTCTGCTTCCGATAGAAACTGCTTGTAACGTGGCCTGTGTATAAAAATATCCAGAGAAACAAGCTGTGCGCGTCCTTGGACGCTGAACCTCTAACGACCTGTCGTAACCCTGCTGCACGTACTCGCTCCTGGCGCCCGGCAGAGCCGTGAGAGGTGGTCCCAGGGCCCGTGGATGGAACACAAACGAATGTTTATTAACTCGCTCTAACACTACAGAACTCCCGGGCTGGGTGAAGGCGCTGGGGAGAAGCTTGCTGTAGATAAATCACAACCGGTGCAAGTGAGCTGGCGTCCACGTGCCCAACCTGTGTCCTTGACCGTACCGTCGGGGTCTGTGTCGCGCTGTGGTCGCCCTGCTCTGGCCGACTCACGGCGATTCTGTGCAGCGGGGTTTCAGCTGTTGGTCACTCAGGAGGCCTTTGGAAATGACCGCTCCGGTCCCTAAGCAATAAAATCGATCGTGGTGAAAATATCCCGTCTGCTTTGCGTTTCCTCCTCCCGTGCTCCGGCCCGTTGTAGCCTGCGGTGCAGGCTACGCTCGTCGCTCTCGGCGGTCCTGGACTCCACTGTCGGATACTGTTGCAGAGCTGAGCTCTGGCGTGAGAGCAGAAAGATCATCTTTCGGATTTTACTGCAGAGGTTACTGCTGGGACTTACCCCTCAGCGTTGTTTAAATGAGATTACATAAATGTGTTGCTTTCCTCAAACTTTAAAACTGGAAATTCCTTTGCTCTTGAGCTGAAAAAAGAGTTCACTCACATAAATTTTGAAAAAAAATTAATGCTCCCTTAGAAAACCAGCCAGTGAAAAACGTGTTTTTTAAATTGATGCAGCCATGTAGCAAAAAACACCCAAAAAACAAAACTTCAGCCTTTTACATTTCTCTTTAACATTTTCAGTAATGCCTTCCAAGAAGAATCTTTCTTACAGTAATACAACCCTTTATATTCAGTTTTTAAAATTAACACAACAGTTACGCAGCCACGTGGAGCGTCCAGAGTCTGCACGGATGGGGTGGTCTTCTGTGAACCAGAGCAGACGCTGTTAGCTGGAATCCTGGCCCTTGGATTCCGGGGTGAGGGACAGGCCAGAGAGAGGGCTTCCGGGACCTCCGCGGGGCTGGGGGGCTGGGTCGGTCTGGCCGATCCAGGGAGGTGCCCCGGGTGGAGGCCGGAGCTGCCCAGGAGGAGGACAAGGTCCAAGCACTGGCCAGACGTGCTTCCCCCGCATCCCAGGGTCAAACGGGCAAAGAAAACTCCAGGGCCCCTGAGAGAACTGACGCCGGGGCAGCAAAATTATCTTGGATTTCTCTTTGTAGTCCCGGTTTGAATTAAACCCCGCTTTCTACCGATGAAAACAATCTATTAAACCGCAGGAGAAGTGCTACGGTGCTGATGAATTTAAAACCTGATTTACTTCAAATTATGTAGCTACTAAGGCTGGGCACGTTCCAACCTACATAATCGTGGCAAAGCACGTCAGCAGGACAGCAGGAGCTAGGGCCCAGCGGCGTCCCTCACCGCCCCCGCACCCACCAAAGGGGAAAGGCGCCACTCCGGGTGGGGCAGGAGCGGGGGTTCACCTGCCCTTTCCGGCAACCCCAAATGTGTCTAAATCTGCCCACACCTCATCCACCTAAGCCTCCAGAGCCCTGGGGAGGGCGCCCCGGGCTGGCGCCGGTGCGGTTGCGGGGAGGGACGGAACAAGGGGTCCTACCTGCTGCCCCGCGCGAGCCACAGCTGCCTGCGCCGGAGGAGCCGCCGCCGCCGCCGAGCGCCCAGCGCCCCGCTCCATCCCCCCGCCGTCGGCTCCGCTCCCGCTCGCTGAGTCCTGGCTCTTCCCGGCCCTCGGCCCCGGGCGGCCCCTTCCCTTGGCCGGCAGCCCGAGGGTTCTCGGGCGGGGCCGCCTTACCCGCGCCGGGCCTCGCGGTGCCCTCGGTCCTGCGGGCTGCTGCCGCCCGGGCAACCCGGGGCGCGAGGCGACCGGGACTCCATCGCACCCCGATTCTGAGCCGGACCTGCGCCAGACCCAGACGCCCCTTCGGCCGAAGGCGCGGACCCCGCGGCATTTGAAGACTGGACAAGGGGACCCGGGACAGGGCCCGGCAGAGGCAGAGGGCCGCGCCACCGCGCCTCGCCCGCGGTTTTCGATAAGGAAGAAACACGCGGTGCAGCCTCGGGAGCCACGGCTCCGACGGGGGACGTGTTAAATAATTTATTGATTATACAAAGTGATTCCTCTCAGGACGCGCGGCAGCGGCGGTCCCGATCCCGCGCCCACGCCGAGGACAGGGACGCGGGCGCTCTGGGGTCCCCGCACGCCGAGCCCGAGCCAGGCCGCTTTATAACTTATTCTGTAAAAATATATATACACACTCCGGCGCGGGCGGCTGGCGAGGGGCGCCGGCCCGCGTCCCGTACCCTGGTTGTCCGGCCTTGCCGCCGCGTCCTCACGAGGCGTCCCCCGCGCCGCCGCCGCACGGGCTGACCAGCGCCAAGTTCGAGGGTTTGTGCTTCTTGAGCAGCCGCGTGATCTTCTCATCGTCCGAGTTGGGGTCCAGGGGCCGGTTGTACTCGTCGTCGTCCTCCGCGTCCGAGCCGCCCACCTTCAGCTTCTCGGCGTCCGAGTCCTGCTTCTTCTTAGCCGACGCCATCTCCGCGGCGTGCCGCTTGCGCCACTTTGTCCGCCGGTTCTGGAACCACACCTGGGGTGGAGGATGCCCATCAGGCGGCGCCTCCCGAAGCACCCGGCCCGCGGCAGCCTGGCCCCTCGGCGGCCCGGCCGGAGACGCCGCCGGCCGCGCGGACGCAGAGGGACGCCCGAGGCCACCCCTCTGCCCGGGCCGGGCCGCAGGGCTGGGCGCCCCCGGGACCGAGGCCAAGGCCGACGGCCGCTCGCAGACCGTTCGCAGGACGCGGGGGAGCGGGTGGGCCTCGGCGCAGCGGGACCCGCGGGGGGCCGCCCAGGCCGCAGACGCCTCACCTTGACTTGGCTCTCGGTCATACCCAGGGAGTAGGCGAGGCGCGCGCGCTCCGGCCCCGCCAGGTACTTGGTCTGCTCGAAAGTCTTCTCCAGCGCGAAGATCTGCTGGCCCGAGAAGGTCGGCCGCGAGTGCTTCTTCTTGCCGTCCTTGTCCAGGACCCCGCTGGCCTGGGCTGCAAAGGAGGGCGGGTGAGCGCGGCCGGCGGCCCCGCGTCCCCGACCGCCCCGCCGCCCCACGCCGAATCCGCGGGTGGGCCACTTACCCGGGCCGGCCAGGCGCGGGTCCCTCCAGGGCGAGCCCTGCACCACGCCAGGCCAGAAGATTGGCGGGCGCCCGGGCAACTCGGCCAGAGGCTTGGGGTAGCCGCGCGCCACGGCGGCCGCGGGCCCGAAGTAGACGCCGGCCGACGAGGCGAGCCCACTGAGACGGGGCAGGCCGCCCAGGAGGCCGCCGCCCGCCGCGCCCACGGGCCGCCCCAGGATGTCGCTGATGCCGTGCGGGGTGCCGAGCGGCAGCTGCGCGCCGAGGCCGCCCAGCGCGGGCGCCTTGAAGCCGGCCGGGCCCTGCAGCGCGTACGGGAACAGCGACGTCTTCATCTCGGCCATGTTGTG